GTAAAAACTGTTAACTTCTCCATTTTACCTTCTTTACTTACGTTATCTAGTTACATATCCAATTTGTCCAGTGTCCATTGATCTATAACATATACTGTCCAATTATTCAGTTTGCTTAACTCTGAACATAGGTCTCTCATCTCTAAAAAAATTGCGGACAGTTTTAGAAATTTTAAATTTCACTGGACAGCCCAATTGTCTAATTGCTCAACCCTGATCAACTATATAAATGCAATGCATTCATACCTCATAGCATTGCTCCATTCTTTTTGAAATTCTTGCGGCTTGCGCATAAACCAATAATCAGCTAAGGGAAACATGGAGCCTACTAAAATTGCAGATAAACCACAAATAGGAGGAATCCAAGCAGCGGTGTCTATCAACTTTGTAATGTCTTTTGGATACTCCGTTATATGATTCTGAGTAAGTAAATGATCAATTACAAAAGACGTGAGAGAACCTATAAGAAATAGGGTCAAAAGACGAGGTGGGTAATAACTAAACCACCACGTTGTTGTTCTGCTATGGTGTGAGCACTCTAAAGACATCCAAAATTACTACTACTCAATGAATAAGTGCAAATTTGCAAATAAAATATGTAACTAGATAACGTAAGTAAAGAAGGTAAAATGGAGAAGTTAACAGTTTTTACTAATGAAAGTCCATAAAATCTTTTTCGGTTTATAATTTTATTTAATTAAGTACAAGTCATAACTCTTCTAATTATAAAGAAAAAAAATTGTGTTGCTTTTAAAATTATAGAGTACTTGACTACTGGACTACGATCCTTAAATTAATGAGGAACTCAAGTCGAAGATATGTAAAGTGACGATCATCGATATATCAAGATTAGCACCCTTTTGCAACGTTTTTCTTTATCTAATGACTATTTATACAATCTGAAGTTTTCACCGTTAAGCGAATCTCATTACTAAAAAAAAAAAAAAAAGGTGAAATACCATTTTTTACTTACCTTCGAAATTTTTTAAATATCAACCAATAAGTTTTCATTCTATGTTTTGGCCATATCGGCGGATTTGCGGAATGGATCTAAATTAGGGTCCCTGGATTAGTGTTTGTAGTCGATTTTGGGTTAGTCGATTTTATCGACTTAGCCGGCTAAGTTAGCTGATTTTTCAAAAAATCGGCTTAGTCGTAGTCGAGGGTTATATTGAAATTATAATAACCAATCAAATTTTACAAAAAAAAAAATGCATGCAAGTAATAACAATAATAACT